ACCTGGTGACCTAAGGTGCCATCTTGGTTCTTTTGGACTAGCACATCCAGGAAGGGTATTTGATTATTTTGTTCCACTTCGATTGTGAACTGAGTATTGGGATGTTGTGAATTGAGAAACCCGAGAAACTGAGAAAGAGTTTCCCTGCCATGATTCCAAATTACGAAAATATCGTCCATATACCGAAACAATGTGGATGGTTTCAGTGGTGCGTTCCTCAAAACTTTATTCTCAAAGTGTTCCATAAAGATGTTTGCAATGATAGGAGATATAGGAGATCCCATCGCCGCTCCAGAGGTTTGTTCGAAAAACTCTCCTTGGAACTGAAAATAGGTTGAAGTTAAGCAGTGTTCTATTAGTGGGAAGAGGTTGGCAGGAATTTCCTCGGAATTCTTGATGATGTTCAAAGTATCCTGGACTGGAACATTGGTAAACAGTGAGACTACATCAAAACTCACCAGGATATCATTAGTATTCATCTTGATTTTTGTGATCTTATTCACGAAATCTGTTGAATTCTTGATATGGGAATCATTGAGACCAGTAAGTTTCTGGAGGGATTTGGTGAGATAGCGGGCTAACTGGTAGGTAGGTCCCCCAATATTGCTGACAATAGGGCGTAAGGGCACTGATTTCTTGTGGATTTTTGGAAGAAAACTCCTCTGCAACACTAGGTTTATTACAGTCTATTATTATATCATTTACAAAAGATTTACTCTTTCTCTTTGTATTGCTACTTGTTAATATTTTATTCGATGATAACATATCTGCATCAGTAAGATTGTTATAGCCTTTTATTGAAATATCAGCAACAGATGAAAATATGTGACTGTAACATTTCTTTTTCTCAATTTCTATCAATCTTCTACAGGGTGTCCTAAAACCACCGGAATTGCTCTTAATGGTAGATTTCCCTTATAGAAATATATTAAGAATCACTGATAATTACTTATTTTCAGTATTAAAAATACTGGATAATAAGTAATTATCAATGATTCTTAGTTTGATATTTCTATAAGGGTCCTTACAATATTTTAAGAAGAAAATTCTAGTATAAACATGTCGAGGCTATAATAGCTTTTAAACGGGAAGCGATTACATTTAACGAATGGCAAGGCTGAGATCTTGCGCGCTCAGGTACGGAAAAATGACAAATGCAAAAAGTGCTCCTATTAATGGGGCGTTCTTTTTATGATATTATTGTTATATAAATTTGCAATATGTTTTCGCTTCTCTATGTATTGCATATTAATACATTTTTTTCACAAATAAAAGATGTAAAAACTAAAGGCATATCAAAAATAATTCAAGTAAAAATTTGCATATTTCAACTTGAGCTGTCAAAGTCATCGATTAACATTACCATGAAGGTGTCTATGCTACGCTGTGCGAGACAAATAAATTGTAATAGAATTAATAGCTGTTTATTTTGTATTTTAGAACATTTTGGAATGTT